ATTCCATTTGACCCAGCAATCCCATTACTGGGTATACACCCAAAGGATTATAAACCATTCTATTATAAAGATATATGCACACATATGTTCATTGCAGCACTGTTTACAATAGCAAAGACCTGGAACCAACCCAAGTGCCCATCAATGATAGACTGGACAAAGAAAATGTGGCACATATACACCATGGAATACTATGCAGCCATAAAAAAGGATGAGTTCATGTCCTTTGTAGGGACATGGATGAAGCTGGAAACCATTATTCTCGGCAAACTGACACAAGAACAGAAAATCAAACACCGCATGTTCTCACTCATAGGCGGGTGTTGAACAATGAGAACACATGGGCACAGGGAGGGGAATATCACACACTGGGGGCTGGTGGGGAGTGGGGGGCTAGGGGAGGGACAGCGGAAGGTCGGGAGGTTGTGGAGGGATAACAAAAAAAAATTTACAGCCTGGCTGAGCATGGTGACTCATGCCTGTAATCCCAGCACTTTGGGAGGCCAAGGTGGGGGGGATCACTTAAGGTCAGGTGTTCAAGACCAACCTGGCCAACATGGTGAAACTGTCTCTGCTAAAAATACAAAAATTAGCCAGGCATGGTGGCAGGTGCCACTCAGGAGGCTGAGGCAGGAGAATCACTAGAACCTGGGAGGCTGAGGTTGCAGTGAGCCAAGATCATGCCACTGTACTCTAGCCTGGGTCACAGAGTGAGACTCCATCTCAGAAAAATAAAATAAATAAATATTTATAGCCTTACATTTATAATTATGAGTCATTTTGAAGTAACTTTTATATAAGGCATGAGGTTTAGATTGAGCTGCATTCTTTTTAGCATATGGATGTTCAATTTAATGAAAATACCATCTTTTTTCCATTGAATTGCCTTTGTAACTTATTAAAAATCATTTGGCCATAAAAAAATAAGTTGCAGCATCAATTAGGTATCAAATAGCACCTTATTATTTACTTTTCCATTTCTGTAATTCCTATTAGAGTGAACATTTTAAATAATCTTTACTGTTCCTTGTGTGTGAGCTGCCTTCTAGTATCTTTGGCTTATTTAACAATGAATATGTTAAGGTATTTTTTAAATATCTGTATAAATTATTTATATGACAAAGATTAAAAAAAATATCCAACTATAAAAAGGCCCTCAGTCTTTCACAGTGGCTCATGCCTATAATCCTGCACTTTGGGAGGCCAAGGCAGGAGAATCACTTGAATCCAGGAGTTCAAGGCTGCAGTGAGCCATGATCATGATGATGACCATGACACTACACTCCAGCTTGGATGACAGAGCAAGACCTGTCTCAAAACAAAACAAGCAAACAAAAAAACACACAACAACAACAACAAAAACCCTAATTACTTAAGAAGTTATGCAACCCTTTCTAATTCTCAAAAAATAATGCCCTGCTATTTGCCAACTATGATACTTATTAAACATAAATCAAATATTATTCTCCTGATCTGCAGGGCATAACTGGACAGAGTAAATGCTCAATGAATACTACTCACACTTAGTCTGGATATACAGGGACTTGCTGGAATTAGCCAGTAAGACACTGTATATCTAGCTTGGCTAGAATGGAACTGGTCAGATAACCATGCAGAGCATATGTAAATCTGATCAGATCACAGAATTTCAGAGATGGACAAGACAAGACAGAGAGGATCTGAGACAAGCCCTTGTTTAATAGATGCAGACTCAGAGGGTTTGAGAAGCAATGCACTCGGGCTAACAAGTTCACGGAGCTGCCTAGGAAAGTGGAAACCGGAACTCTGCTGAGTGTCCTTCCTGAGTGCATCCTGAAGCTCCCTTTTTTCAGAAAGGAGAAAACAGAAGCAGAGAAAGTGGGTGATTTGAAAATATGTGGTAGGGGTGATGGGGAGGAAGGCAGCAAATCACACTGTCACGTGTGTACCTATGCAACAATCTTGCATGTTCTTCACATGTACCCCAAAACCCAAAATGCAATTAAAAAAAGAAAAAAAAAAAGAATTTAAAGCATAGTTCTAGGATACAAGCTCAATATGTAAATATCAGTTGTATTTTTACACATTTACAATAAGCAATTCAAACATGAAATTAAGAAAATAATTGTATTTAAAATATCAAATAATAAAATACTTAGGAATAAATTTAATAAAATCAGTACATAAAAGATGTGTACACTGAAAACTACAAAACATCATTGAAAGAAATTTTAAAAGACCTAAATAAATGGGAAGACATTTCTTTCCATGCTATCTCTCCCCAAAGTTGGAGGAGGCTACCAGATATAGGTGATGGGGAGGAAGGCAGCAAATCACACTGCCATGTGTGTATCTATGCAACAATCTTGCATGTTCTTCACATGTACCCCAAAACCTAAAATGCAATAAATAAAAAAATAAAAAAAAAGAAACCATGTGGTGGGGAAACATCCTTAGACACACAGCATAAAAGCAAACTGGTATACAGGGGAACTCACCAAAATTGACTGAATAACCTTCAGAATTATGCAATCCTTTTCTTCAAATTTGAACTTTTAAATGAGACATAATACATGCACATAATATAAATAAAAAATATTAAATTTTACAAAGAAAAAAGTTAAAACTCTACACCCTCATTTCCCCCCATTCGAGGTAACCACCATTAACCATTACTGACAACTTGAAGAATTACTTTCCAGGTATTTTTCTGTACAGATATAAATAAGTATTATACAAAAGTTGATTCATAATACATACTATTCTGCATTCTCTTTTTCTTCATTTGAGAGACAATTTTCTATGTCACTACATATGAATTGCCTTATATGTTATAACATCTGAATATTATTCATCCAATATTCTCATAATAATGTCTCCCTTGAAGAACAGAGTGAGTAAAAGTTTTAAAGCACTGTAGGACAAAAGTAGACATTTTATAAATGGTGTTGGGAATTTAGACAGTCATCTGGGAAAATGCGAAATTAGATCTATTCTTCATGCCATACACTTCAAGGAGCTAAGTATACACATGTATACACACACACACACACGTGTATTATAAGACAATTGGGGACATTTGAACACTGACCAAATATTTGAGATTAGAAAGTAGTAAATTCTTACATAATTTCATGATATTGTAGGTTGTATTTTTTAAAGAGCACAAATCTTTTAGAGATCCATATTTCCCGAGACCAGCTCGGTTATAGAAACCCCCACCCAGGCAGCACTGAAGGAATTAAGAAACAGAAACAAAGATAGAGTGCAAAAGTGGGATCAGAGTGGAACGTCAGGGAGCTGACAGCATTTCCCAGCTGACAGCCCAGAGCAGACTCCAACCCACGTATTGATTCTTTGTGAACAAGTGACTGTTTTTAATAAGCAGGTGCTCAGTGTTTCTTCATGGAATAAAGATAGACTACACAGGCAGATAGTGCCTGTTCACTGCTAAAACAGAAATAAGCTAAAAAACGCTCTATGCAAGTCAGCAATGGGGACAAGGTCAAATACCCTGTGTTTTGGGAGCTGGTTTAACTAGTGCATGACCAATGCATACTGCTTGCTTATTCTAGCGGTTTCCTGCCTAGGGATGGCTCTGTGTTCCTTGCCATCGCCTCTCAGCAAACAACATACACTCCATCACACACACAAGACCTCCTCCCAACACACACTGATAATATCTGATGGAATATTAAGTTTTGGATTTGCTTTAAGATAATCCACGGAGTGGGGCGGGAAGAAGTAGTTGGCACACAGATGAAATAAGAATGACCACAGATTTAATAATTGATGATGTTGTGTAAAAGTAAATGGTAGGTCATCATACTATTCTCTTCTTTTTTGAGTATGCTTAAAATGCTTTATGTTAAACACTAAAACTGTAAAATTTCACTGATAGAGTGCTGCAGTCAAGAAAACTTGCCCTGACTTTAGTTCTGCCACTTAATTTGTTGAACAATCATAGGCAAATACAAATTTCTTTGTATAATTACAATTTCTATGCTGCCTTATTATTCTGGTAATCTATGCATATGTTCATCTCCCAGTTAAACTCCAAACCCTGACTATCAGGAATAACATGTTTCATTCATCTCATTTTCCCCAGTGCCTATCTTGGTGTAGGATTAGATGGGGAAATGTTTCTCAAATTTTTCCATATGTGGAGAGCTAAGTGCTTGCTCAGCACAAATGTGGTCTGCTGGTTTTAGATAAATTAGATAAAAGTAGTATTAATTTTTAAGTATGTTGATTAAAATTATCATCAACATAAGAGTAATCACATTTTATCAATGGGAGTAAAACTTGATAGAGAATAAGTGGTTATCAGAAGTGGGAGGCAGTGGGGGGTGTGGAAGACATAGGTCAAAGGGTACAAGGTTGCCATTAGGTGGGGTGAATAAATCTGTCTATCTAAAGTACAGCATGAGGATTATAGTTTTGTTTTAATTTTTGAAGACAGGGTCTCACTCTGTCCCCCAGGCTGCAGTGCAGTGGCACAATCTTGGCTCAATGCAAACTCTGTCTCCCTGGCTCAAGCCATCCTCCCACCGCAGCCACCCGAGTAGCTGCGACTACAGACATGCACCATCACGCCTAGCTAATTTTTGCATTTTTTTGTAAAGACAAGGTTTTGCCATGTTACCCAGGCTGGCCTTGAACTCTTGAACTTAACCTCCCAAAGTGCTGGAATTACAGGCATGAGACACCATGCCCAGCTGAAGACTATAATATTGTATAGTTAATAATATTGTATTGTATGCTGGAAATTTGCTAAAAGAGTAGATTCTGAGTGCTCTTACCACACACACACACACACACACACACACACACACACAAAAGGTAACTGTGAGATGTGAAATAATGGATATCTTAAGTGCTTACCTGTAGAAATCATTTCACTGTGTATATCAAAATATCATGTTGTAGTCCTTAAGTGTATAAAATGCAATCATAAATAAAAATAAAATTTTAAAAATAGAATTGGTAGATAAAAATAAGTGATAAAACATTTAAAATTATATTTTTAAATTATAAAAAATATTTAATATTAACATTAATAGACATTTTATCAGGCATAGAAATATCCTTTGTAATCTTTTGCCAATGTTGTTGTATCTGGCTTAGTGTTTCATAGCTTGAGCTATAGGTTAGGCTGTCTATCCTTCCTCCTGTTAAAGTTTATTTTCCTCCTCTATATTTTTACTAAATTAGAAAATTTCATCTCAGAGATCAGGTCATTGGGAATGGCAGTGAATGTTTGGTGTCTCTTTTACACAAATCTGGGAAATCAAATGGAAAATAAAGTGGTTTCTTACTGAATACAACTTTCTCCACTCTGTCGGACACTACATTGACAGAAATTGTATCTGAAAGACAAGGGGCAAATGTTTCTGTTGCAGATGACTTGGAATACACTTTTTCACTCTTGCATTGACTGTGGCTCTAGAAAGTATTGTTTCATGTTCTGTTGCAGTATTTGCATGCAGATGTGGATATTTAAATATGCAGCACTGTTACAGAAGGTAGCAAACCAGACATAAGCAGGGCAGGAGAGCCCCCAACCTCCCTGCATCAGGAATGCCAGGCTGAATTTGATTACACTGAATTTGATTGATTTCTCTCTTACGTGTCTTTTAAATCTATAGGTTTTTCTTACCCTCTCTTCTTCATTCTCTTGCCTGATCAATGCCAGGTGAGAGTCTGGCAGTTAAGCTGTCTCTCCAAAACAATAATCAGATGCAGCAGGGACCAGGGAAATGTAGTCTCCCAATAGGTAGAAACACCTGAAACTGGTGAGCAGCAGTCTCCCAGTAAGATCTCACGAGCTGGGGAAGTGGGCTCACACATGCGCACTAAGAGGCAAAACAACTACGTTTCACTGGTATATGACCTTCTGGGAAGGTTCTACTGGTAAGAGAAGAATGCATCAAATGAGCATGTGTTCAACTCCAGAAACACAGGGTGCATGTGGACAGCCCACCCCAAGGGAAGAATGGGGGCACGGGAAGGGATGCAGCACCCTGGAAGCTTCCCAGTGTATAAGACCCCAAGTCAAAGGGCACACAGCACACTTATCTCTCAAGGCACCTGCTTGGCCCTCTTCCAAGTGTCCTTTACTTCCTTATGCTCCTGTGCTAAAGGTTTTTAATAAACTTTCACTCTTGCTCTAAAACTTGCCTCAGTCTCCCCTGCCTTCAGTCAAATTCTTTCTTCTGAGGGGCTAGAATTGAGGTTGCTGCAGACCCGAATGGATTCGCCACAGCTGACAGCACTACATCTTGGTTTTCTTAATTTCCTTCTGTAGCAAGTGAAAAAAAAATAGTTATTGGTAATCTATCAAATTCCCAGAAATCAAACTCTTTGCACCATCATTTTGCCTACTAAAGAAATCCTGATATCATCTCCTGAGTGTTGAGCATTTAGGATTTTGTCCCTAACGTGAGAGCTTAGACCCCTAAATTATACCATTCAAGACACTAAGACTTATGAATTAAGGTTAAAAACAGCATTATGCAAAACATTTATTTTAATTTCATTCCTTATTTAAAGACAAGAGTGGACCACTCCCACCCAAAATAGTGCCTCCCACTGGGGAGAAGCAGGGTGTTGCCCTAACTGCCTGTTGCATGCTGAAAACATGTGCACACAGAAGCCAAGGTTCGTTCTTAGTCACAATTCGCAGCATTTCTTTCAATGCCAAATCAAGATAAGGAGGTGTATAGTTAAGTGCCAATTATTCTTTGTGAGAAAGCATTTTGTGATTTGACACTCAAGAGTCTAGGAGTTTGAGAGCAGGCTGGGCAACATAGGGAGACCCCCATCTCTACCAAAAAAAAAAAAAGTCTTTAAAATTAGCCAGGTGTGGCAGGGGCTGCTTGAGGAGAGGCAGACAGCATGATGCTTCTCATCACCTGCCCCAGACAGAGGACCCCTGCATCAGTGAGGGAGAGCTAAAGAGAAGAGCAGTGGGACTCTCTGGAGACACCGAGGAGAGGCCAGAAGACTGATGGGACTAATCATGACTGCTCGGCACAACTGGAACATCAGCAACTTTTAGCAGGCTTCTACTAATGAATGTGGAACCGAGGGACTGGCAGCTCCATTTCCTCTGATATTAACATTTTTTTACTTTATTTTAATGAGGAAAATGAGACTCTTCTCAGTTTCCTATCACCAAACCCAGTTTGGGAGGGGATGACATTTATCAACAGTGCTTTGAAAAATATTAAGCATCGTACAAATAGGAGGAATTGTTGCTGCTATAATCCTGATGAAGCACACGTGCAGCTCTGCATGAGCCTCAATATTTAGGGGACATTTAAGGAATTAGGAGGAACTCTGTGACTACTGGGGAGTGACTCGAGATGGTCTTCGCAGAAAGAGCCAACTAATCTGGCCATATTAAATCCATTTTTAGAAGAAAAAAAAAATAGCCAGGTGTGGTGGCACACAGCTGTAGTCCCAGCTACTAGGGAGGCTGAGGCAAGAGGCTCATTTGAGTCCAAGAGGTCAAGGCTGCGGTGAGCTGTGATCATACCACTGCACGCCAACCTGGGTGATAGAGCAAGCCTCTGTCTCGGAGAAAAAAGACGACAAACTTTTTCATGTATGCATGTATAATCAAACATGAACAACAATGTTCAAGCAGCATGATCTATAAAAGTAAACCAACTGGAAACAAGCCAATAAGAATGGCCACTGTCAATAGAACACATTAATTTGTGGTAGTCTAGTCATAAGCTCATTCTGTTGTATGAACATGTTCAGCAGTGAAAATAAATGAATCAGAGCTAAGTACAGCAACATGGATGAAATCTCAAAAACATATTGAACAAAAGCAGCAAGTCACAGGAAAATATTTGTGATTTCATTTATGGAAAGTAAAAAAATAGGTAAAAGTAAACAATAAATCATTTAGTGATACATATGCAGGTGGTAAAGCTAGAATGAACGGAAAAGGAATTAAAGGTAGAAAAGTTAGGAACATGATGAGGGAAGGAGGTAAGGAAGAGGGGCACCACCAGGGAAGGTGGGAGTGAGCACCTGTAAAGTTCTGGTAGTGTTCTAGTTCTCCCATGTGTTCGTTATCAACTACTCATTTTACTGATTTTTGTTTCTGTTTTGTTCTTTGGGGTTTTTAGGGGACAGAGTCTCGCTCTGTTGCCTAGGCTGGAGTACAGTGGCATGCTCTCAGCTCAGGGCAACCTCCACCTCCAGGTTCAAGTAATTCTCATGTCTCAGCCTCCCAAGTAGCTGGGATTACAGGAACATACCACCATGCCGGCTAATTTTTGTATTTTCAGTGGAGACGGTATTTTGCCATGCTGGCCAGGCCGGTCTCAAACTCCTGGCTCAAGTAATCTATGCGCCTCGGCCTCCCAAAGTGCTGGGATTACAGGTGTGAGCCACAGTGCCTGGCCATTTTACTGTTTTTCTTAAATGTGTAAATATAAGTTTATACCTTATATTTAAGATATAATACCACCTCTCTGAATGTATTATATCACACAGCCACACAGAAAACTCTGAGCCATTGATGCATTCATATGACTTGTATCAACAAAATAATACAGTAACTATAGATTAACAAAAAGCATATGCAAATGATATAGAAATATTCATTTAAACAATATTAGTTACAACTCAGCCGGGCCCAGTGGCTTACGCCTGTAATCCCACCCAGCACTTTCGGAGGCCAAGGCCGGCAGATCACTTGAGGTCAGAAGTTTGAGACTAGCCTGGTCAACATGGTGAAACCTCATCTCTCACAAAATACAAAAATTAGCCAGGCGTGGTATCAGGTGCCTGTAGCCCTAGCTACTCGGAGGCTGAGGCATGAGAATTGAACCCAGGAGATGGAGATTGCAGTGAGCCAAGATCATGCCACTGCACCCCAACCTGGGCAACAGAGTAAGACTCTGTCTCAATAAAATAAAATAAAATAGGCCTATGGCTCACGCTTGTAATCCCAGTACTTTGGGAAGCCAAGGCGGGTGGATTGCCTGAGCTCAAGAGTTCCCAGCCAGCCTGGGCAACACAAGGAAACCCCATCCTTACTAAAATACAAAGAATTAGCCAGGCATGGTGGCATGTGCCTGTAGTCCCAGCTACTTGTGAGGCTGAGGCAGGGGAATTACTTGAACCTGGGAGACAGAGGGTGTCTGTCAAGAATGCAACACTGCACTCCAGTCTGGGCAACAGAGCCAGACTCCATAATTAATTAATTAATTAAAGTTATAACTGAATGTTAGCTGAGACTAACTAACCAACACAGTCCTTTGATTGCAGAAAGCAGCTTCTAGCAGTGCCTCCACACTTTTGGCAGTCTGAATCTCTTTCCTCTGCCCTCCTCTCTAAATTCATCATTTCTCTTGTCTTCATAATCTTTCTTAATACAATGAACCACAGTTGACTGGATTTATGCCTTGGGAGGAGGCTGATGTAGTCAGTGAGTCAGGCCACAAGTTCTGGGGAGAGATCTGGTGTGTTGACATCTCCCCAGTGTTCATTCTGTGACTTCATTTCTGTGCCTGACTTTCCTATTCTGGAAAATAACCATAAGAATAGTACCTCACAGTGTCATTGAGTTAATACACATACAACAGCATTTACTCCAGTGCCTACTGTATGGTACGTGCTCCCACAAATGCTGACGGTCCTTTTTCAAAATTGCAGTCACATCTAGTGGTCCCATGTCCTTGAAACTGTACCCTAATAACCTTAGTAATGAAGATGGTGTTATTGGTAACAACCTCTTACTCAATATCCCTGATGTACCAGCAATGTCCAAGATGCCTTGGATATAATGCTTCATTTACTTGTTTTGATAAATTCTTTACTGTCCATTTGAATGGAGTTTGGGGTGTCCTCTCTTTGCTCAAATATTTACACACAAATAATCTTATGACTTATTCCACAGATAGCTAATCCCACCTAGCGTGGACTTTCCTATTCAATTTTCTGACTACAACCTCATTCACCTCATTTCCTAATTTACAGGTTGGGAGGGTACCTTAGTGCAAGCCCCCTTGCAACCGCTTAGGGAACAGAAAAGAAAACAAGCAAAAGAGACTATGTGCATCCAGATGAGCTTTCAGAAGCAAATTAATTTTCTTGAAAAACGTCCAATTTCCTAGAAGAGAGTGAAACCTGTGCTTGGAGCCCCCAGGTTATAAGCAAGCTAAAATTTTGAACATTAAAAAAAAGAAATCCTTGCAAAACCCTCATCAATCAAGCAATGAAACCTTTGGCAAGTGTCGTAACACTGAGAATCAGATTGAAACTTGTCCATTTGAAGAAGCCCTTGTCAGCTCCAGACTCACAACTTCCCTCTGCACATTGCAGTTAAATGATCAGGGGACCAGGTGCGGTGGCTCACACCTGTAATCCCAGCATTTTGGGAGGTCAAGGTGGGAGGATCACAAGGTCAGGAGTTGCAGGCCAGCCTGGCCAATATGGTGAAATCCCGTCTCTACTTTAAAAAATACAAAAATTAGGGGATGGCAGTGCGCGCCTGTATTCCAGCAACTCAGAGGCTGAGGCAGGAGAATTGCTTGAACCTGGGAGGCGGAGATTGCAGTAGGCCAAGATTGTGCCACAACACTCCAGCCTGGTAAGACTCCATCTCAAAATGATCAGGGAGGAAAAGTCACATAAAGTCCCCTTCATGTGTTTTCTGTTTGCTTGTCACAGGTGCTGACCTGTTCTCTAGATTTCCAAAGTTACCGACCCACAGGAGAGATTGACTTTCACAAAATCTGCACCAGCTCAGAGCCCTACTTAGAGATCAAGACACCAGGTGTAAGGCCGGTTGCCTCGTCGGGAGGTTGGGCACACCCACCTCTGCACCCGGCACCAGGCTCTGCCGCATGGCTCCCCTGGAAGGCTCCAGCTGATGCAAGGCTCCTGGCCAGCTCTCCCACTGGAAAACCCACCCAACAACCCACCAACCAATAGACCGCCCCATCTCAATCCCACTCCCCTGGAGTCAATCAGAGCACCCAGCTATTGCTCGTTCCTCCTAGCCATAAAAATCTCACGCCCCAGGAAATTGGCACAACTTCCCTGGTCCCTTTCCCCAGGACCATGGAACCTCGCCCAGGAGCTGAATAAATTGGATTTTCATTTTCTTATATTGGCCTCAGTTTCCTCATTTTAAACTCGGCAATAAACCTTACACTGGGAAAATGCTACTGAGTGAAAGGGCCATAGAGGGGCTAGCAGAGAATAGGCACTGCAGTGTGCCCTGACAAGTCCTCATGGGCTAAATTGGAAGGCCTAGTCCCTGCTTTGAAGAAATATTAGGAAAGCCAATAAAATTAAAATAAAATTTAATTAACATAGCCTTTAAAAGTATTTCTGGCCGGGCATGGTGGCTCATGCCTATAATCCCAGCACTTTGCGAGGCTGAGGCAGGCAGATCACAAGGTCATGAGTTCGAGATCAGTCTGGCCAACATAGTGAAACCTCGTCTCTACTAAAAATGAAAAATAGATTTAAAAAATTTTTAAAAAATCACCAGGTGTGGTGGTGCATGCCTGTAATCCCAGCTACTCAGGAGGCTGAGGTAGAAAAATCATGTGAACCCAGGAGGCAGAGGTTTCTGTGAGCCAAGATCGTGACATTGCACTCCAGCCTGGGCCACAGTGCAAGACTGTGTCTCCAAAAAAAATAAAAAATAAAAAAGCATTTCCCAGTACAGTCTTTATTTGTCCTTTACCAGGACTCTTGGAAGCAGATACTATTTTTCCTATTTTACTAAAGTAGTCACCGAGGCTCTGTCCAGGGTGACAAGACAGTTACTGTGGCAGCTGGGGTCTAAGCCAGACTGACTGTCTCTGAAACCACCCCTGATACTGACCTGTGCTCCAGGGCATTCTGTGCACAGAGTGAGTTCCAGCTACATGCCAGGCATTGTACTAGGTGCCAGGAGAAAGTAGAGACGTGACAGAGTCCCCGAGAGCACTGTCCTCTGAAAGAGACTGACAAATCAACAAGCACATCAAGTCCTGAGCAGTGGCTGCCACATCACAGAACAGAGGAGAGTGACCTCCCCCATGGAGCCCAAGAGACAACCAGGAATCGGTTAGACAAAGGAGAACGTTCCATGAAGCCTTTGCTCCCAGGACCCACCTTGAGCAATCTCCAATTTGTTGGCCAAAACCACAGTGTTCTTCTGGTATTTAAGGCTCACAGAGTTCATGTACTTCACATTTTTATACCATCAGGCAAGTATTTTTAAAAGTACTGTCCACTCTAGAAAAAAATGGATATATAATACACACATATTTTGTATATGTATTTATGTATTCATGTATGCTTGTATGTATTATAGTGGCACAAAAGTAACTGCAGTTCTTGCCATTAAAAGTAATGGCAAAAAATGAAATTAATTTTGCATCAATCTAGTAGGTATATTATACACACACACACACACACACACACACACACACACACAGAGAGAGAGAGAGAGAGATTTAGATAATTACATACAAAAATTCATTAAATTATCATTTTTCCACGTATGATGTCACCTATCAGCCAGTAGTTTCAGTTATTCATTTATTCAATTATTTAAGAGAAATTTTAGAGCTGGACGTGGTGGCTCATGCCTGTAATCCCAGCACTTTGGGAAGCCGAGGCAGGTGGATCACGAGGTCAAGAGATCAAGACCAACCTGGCCAACATGGTGAAACCCTATCTTGCATGCCTGTAGTCCCAGCTATTTGGGAGGCTAAGGCAGGAGAATTGTTTGAACCTGGGAGGCAGAGGTTGCAGTGAGCCGAGATCACACCACTGCACTCCAGCCTGCAACAGAGCAAGACTCCGTCTCAAAAGAAAACAAAAAACACACTTTGGAAGTACTTACTGGATCTAGATATGCCTCACATAGGGATAGGCACTGACACAAGGCCCCTACCCTCACAGCACTCACATTCTACTGGGGGAAGCAGACACAAGTAAACCTAAATAAACAAGATACTTGCACACTGAAATAAGTCTTACAAAGTGAGCACAGTAATGAGAAAGAGGGGGACAGAAGGGGTCGTTTTAGATAGGAGCATCAGAGCAGACTACTCTGAGGAAGGGGTACCTGATCTGAGGCCTGGCGATCTCAGGAGCTGGGAATAGCATTCCAAGTGAGCAGGTGGGAAAGACAAAGGCCTACAGGCAGTAAGAGCTGGTTGTGTCTGGCCTGGTTCTCAACCTGGGCTGTCCAGTAGATTAACCTACCACCCTCCTGGCACATCACTGTGTATCACTAATCAGGGAAGCTCACTAGAGAGTTTTTACTGGAATTTCATTGTGTAGGCATGAGTGACTGAATCATGGCCCAGAAAATTGAACTCAACTTCCAGTCCCCTTCCCTTCTCCATAGTTCAGGTTGATATCACCCAGCTCAAAGCCCCAATCCTGTAATCACACAGTTGGTCGTTATTTCATGGTAGGCCTCTGTCCTGAGTCATCTCATTAGCAGAAACTCAGAGGTGATCTGAGGGGCCCACCATGAACGACAAGAACACTCCTATCACTTGGAAAATCCCAATGATTCAGTGATTCCCTCCCAAGAACTAGAGACAAAGGCAATTCTTCAAGACTAGTTAATGAGCTGGAAAAGAGCAGGCTTGATGAAGGTTGGGGCTATAATCAGGAGTGTGGTTTTGATGTACGACATTTGGATCACCTCTGAGACAGCCAAGTGGAGATGTCAAGTACACAGTTGAGTGGACAAGACTGACCTCCTGGGGGAAGTCTGGGCTGCTGAAACAAATCTGAGAACCATCAGCAAGTTAATGGCATTCAAAACCAGCAGACAGGATGAGATCCCTTAGCAAGCTGACAGTAAAAGGGAAAATAAATGACCCAGGCCTAAGCCCCAAAGCAAACCATCATTTGGAATTATTATGACCTACAACACTGATTTTCCTGCTCTTTCATCTTTATCTGCTCAGGCAGCAAAAAATGAAAAGTTGTTCCAGTTGAGGTAAGTCCATCTTTTAATATGCATAAACCTCCTCAAAAATGTTTTTGAACATGAAACAAAGCCAGGAGCTTCCCACAGTGAGATTCAAGCTGGGGAGGACACATACTGTTTATTATCTTCTAACACAGACAGTAACATATAACAAGAAAAAGGCAGGAAGCCAGAACATTTGAAATAACACTGGGTTATACAAAGACACATTCTTTTCACCAATGTAAAACTATAAAAGGATAAAAATGATGTATTTTTCATTTCAGAAGCAGTTACCCCTAATGTATAATGTTCACTTTCCCTACAGTAATGGTAACACAAATGATACTGTTTGAATTAAAAAAAAAACTTCAGCCATGGTAGCCCCAGCTACACAGGGGTCTGAGATGGGAAGATTATTTGCGGCCAGGAGTTCAATTCCAGCCTGGGCAACACAAGGAAACCCCATCCTTACTAAAATACAAAGAATTAGCCAGGCATGGTGGCATGTGCCTGTAGTCCCAGCTACTTGTGAGGCTGAGGCAGGGGAATTACTTGAACCTGGGAGACAGAGGGTGTCTGTCAAGAATGCAACACTGCACTCCAGTCTGGGCAACAGAGCCAGACTCCATAATTAATTAATTAATTAAAGTTATAACTGAATGTTAGCTGAGACTAACTAACCAACACAGTCCTTTGATTGCAGAAAGCAGCTTCTAGCAGTGCCTCCACACTTTTGGCAGTCTGAATCTCTTTCCTCTGCCCTCCTCTCTAAATTCATCATTTCTCTTGTCTTCATAATCTTTCTTAATACAATGAACCACAGTTGACTGGATTTATGCCTTGGGAGGAGGCTGATGTAGTCAGTGAGTCAGGCCACAAGTTCTGGGGAGAGATCTGGTGTGTTGACATCTCCCCAGTGTTCATTCTGTGACTTCATTTCTGTGCCTGACTTTCCTATTCTGGAAAATAACCATAAGAATAGTACCTCACAGTGTCATTGAGTTAATACACATACAACAGCATTTACTCCAGTGCCTACTGTATGGTACGTGCTCCCACAAATGCTGACGGTCCTTTTTCAAAATTGCAGTCACATCTAGTGGTCCCATGTCCTTGAAACTGTACCCTAATAACCTTAGTAATGAAGATGGTGTTATTGGTAACAACCTCTTACTCAATATCCCTGATGTACCAGCAATGTCCAAGATGCCTTGGATATAATGCTTCATTTACTTGTTTTGATAAATTCTTTACTGTCCATTTGAATGGAGTTTGGGGTGTCCTCTCTTTGCTCAAATATTTACACACAAATAATCTTATGACTTATTCCACAGATAGCTAATCCCACCTAGCGTGGACTTTCCTATTCAATTTTCTGACTACAACCTCATTCACCTCATTTCCTAATTTACAGGTTGGGAGGGTACCTTAGTGCAAGCCCCCTTGCAACCGCTTAGGGAACAGAAAAGAAAACAAGCAAAAGAGACTATGTGCATCCAGATGAGCTTTCAGAAGCAAATTAATTTTCTTGAAAAACGTCCAATTTCCTAGAAGAGAGTGAAACCTGTGCTTGGAGCCCCCAGGTTATAAGCAAGCTAAAATTTTGAACATTAAAAAAAAGAAATCCTTGCAAAACCCTCATCAATCAAGCAATGAAACCTTTGGCAAGTGTCGTAACACTGAGAATCAGATTGAAACTTGTCCATTTGAAGAAGCCCTTGTCAGCTCCAGACTCACAACTTCCCTCTGCACATTGCAGTTAAATGATCAGGGGACCAGGTGCGGTGGCTCACACCTGTAATCCCAGCATTTTGGGAGGTCAAGGTGGGAGGATCACAAGGTCAGGAGTTGCAGGCCAGCCTGGCCAATATGGTGAAATCCCGTCTCTACTTTAAAAAATACAAAAATTAGGGGATGGCAGTGCGCGCCTGTATTCCAGCAACTCAGAGGCTGAGGCAGGAGAATTGCTTGAACCTGGGAGGCGGAGATTGCAGTAGGCCAAGATTGTGCCACAACACTCCAGCCTGGTAAGACTCCATCTCAAAATGATCAGGGAGGAAAAGTCACATAAAGTCCCCTTCATGTGTTTTCTGTTTGCTTGTCACAGGTGCTGACCTGTTCTCTAGATTTCCAAAGTTACCGACCCACAGGAGAGATTGACTTTCACAAAATCTGCACCAGCTCAGAGCCCTACTTAGAGATCAAGACACCAGGTGTAAGGCCGGTTGCCTCGTCGGGAGGTTGGGCACACCCACCTCTGCACCCGGCACCAGGCTCTGCCGCATGGCTCCCCTGGAAGGCTCCAGCTGATGCAAGGCTCCTGGCCAGCTCTCCCACTGGAAAACCCACCCAACAACCCACCAACCAATAGACCGCCCCATCTCAATCCCACTCCCCTGGAGTCAATCAGAGCACCCAGCTATTGCTCGTTCCTCCTAGCCATAAAAATCTCACGCCCCAGGAAATTGGCACAACTTCCCTGGTCCCTTTCCCCAGGACCATGGAACCTCGCCCNTGGAGTGCAGTGGCACCATATTGGCTCACTGCAACCTCCACCTCTGGGTTCCAGTGATTCTCCTGCCACAGCCTCCTGAGTAGCTGTTATGACAGGAATGCACCACCATGCCTGGATAATTTTTGTGTTTTTAGTAGAGACAAGGTTTTGCCATGTTGGCCAGGCTGATCTCAAACTTTGACCTCAAGTGACCCACACACCTCAGCCTCCCAAAATGCTAGAATTACAAGTGTGAGCCACCATGCCCAGCCTACTTGTTCAGCTTCCAGGAGTTAATGTAAAACACTGTAAGTTCAATACAGGAACTAGCCTAAAGAGCACTGCCACTTCAGACCAACATTATTAGGGAGATATTCAATATCTTCATCTATAGCCATGCCAAGGGTAATGATAATATTTAATAATAAAAAGACCATTTAACATTCATGGAGCTCTTACGATATGCTAGCCCTCAGCTAAGTGCCTCAGAGACATTATTGCTTTCCAGTAATATATTTAATATTAATTGAACAGATGCATTTAATTTTTATTTAATAATATGCTTTTATTTAATGACATGTATAAAGCAATAACCCTGAAAAATATTCTATGCCTAATGTACAGCTGAGAAAACTGAGGCTTGCAGAGATCAAGTAACTTGCTTCTCAACAAGCCACAAGTCATTTAATCCAGATCACAGGGCCACCCAGTGAGGAAGCAACAAAGCCACAACCCAGGTCTGTCTGCAGCTGAAGCAGTAAGAGGCCCAGGAGTTAAAGGAGAGATCATCACCGGTGCCCTTAAAATATGTCTGGGATGCATGAGTGCTTCACTGATGGAGTTTCTTCTGCTGAAAGTAATTTAGTTCAATATGCAGGTCCTGTGGGGCTCCTGTGCTTTCTCAGCCAGCAGGAGTGAGAAGAGGCAAGAGTCTTTCTGCAGCATTGAAGCGGCCGCTGGGTGAAAGGAGTTCAACAATGGAGTCAGGTAGTCCGTTGTTCAGCTTCAGATTCATTTACTCTCAGGCTTGTCTTCTTTCTCCCCTTTCAATCACTGAGGCTGTCTTGATGAGAGGCACGCTCCCCCTTCTATTCTGGGCCAGAAACTCACTGCAACTGTCTGTGAATGGGTGGGAAACTTGCCACCCCAGTCAGGCCACTGGGATTGTGCCAATTACCTTTTATCTGCCAAGTGGCAAGGTATAAGAATGGCTAGACCTCAGGATGCCACATTATCAATCACAACTATTATTTATTAATCATTTGCTAGTTATTACACATATAAATATAACATAGCTCATATCTTTATTATGAATATAAAATTGTTTAATTTTTAAAGTTGTTTATATTTTTGTTATATAAAATTATTTAAATTTTTATTATATAAAGTTGTTTATAGTTTTATTATACTTGTTTTTATTTTTATAAATTATTTATTAATCACTTACTATAGTAATAAGAGTCATTATTTATTAAGTGCCTTATATGCGTCAGACATTTAACAAATATTTTCATTTAGTCTTCATAGCACTTAGCATGGTAGATAATATAATCCCCTAGAGAGAGTCAGAAGGTTTGAAACTTGCCCAAAGTCACACAGTGGCAGAGCTGGGACTGGACCCAGGTGTCTGGGACTCCAAAATGCATGTACTTTCCCATATCAATTCTGCCTCTAATACACTGGATAGCAGTACCTTAGCTCCAGGCAGAAGTCAGAAGGCATCTGTTTATCACGGATGTCAGTGTCTGCCAGACTCAGCGCTATAGAGCTGGAGGTAATGAAAATCTCCCATCTATTTTATGAATCTGAATATATTAACATTATTTGGACAGCCATGAGTACTCAGTGCCCTGCTATAGCAATAGCCTCAGGGGTTATTGACATGCATGGACTTCTTTCTCTCCATGCCAAATGGTGCCACACTGACATCCTTTTTTTAATTTAATTTTTTAAATTCACGTCTGTTGTAATTTTTCTGCCTCCTACCTCACTGTTAGGTTGTAAGCTACCACAAACGTTTCACTGATGTCCTTGTGCCTGCTTCTAGGCACTGTTGACCTTTAGGCTGGATAATTCTTCATTAGGGCGGGGGCATCCTGTGCATTATAGAATATTTATCAGCAGCCCTGGTCTCCACCTTCTAGATGCGAGTTGTAACTTTCCCTTCCTCCCCAGGCATGCCTATCAAAGATGTCTCTGGACACTGTCAAATGTCCCCCACTACTGGGGAAGAGACAAAATCACCCCCATTGAAGAACCATTGTTCTAGGTGAGTACACACCCACACAAATATACACACACACATTTCTAATATGCTACGTCTTATAGTGCTGCTCAAGGAAGGAAACAGCTAGCCAGGCTTATCAGACAGAAACAGAATAAAATAAATATAAAATAAGCTTGGCGTGATATTGTGAGGAAATCTCACAGCAACCCTCACGAGTTTCAGCTGATAATGTCTGTGACATATTTCTGTTGCTAAAAAGCCAGCAGCTTTGAATTTCTCCTTAACCCCTCTTGGACATAGGCTTCTGAGCCATGAAGGCAGAAAAGTCACTGGCCCAGTACTGAGTACCAGATGGTATTCACTAAATGTCAATTTCCCTCATGCCCCAACTGAATAAATCAATGTTGCTCAGACACTCTACACTGGGGAGGCATAATCAAATATAAACCACTTGATCAAAAGTAAAAACGGAAAAAGGAAGCCCATGTGAAAAGAAGGAACAGAAATCTTTCTTGGCCACAAGTAGACCGAAACACCATCTGCTCTTGCCTGTTGTCCTTAGTATAGTGTACAGTTACTGTTAGACCTTGATACTGGTGTTTTTGTTTTGTTTTGTTTTGTTTTGAGACAGGGTCTTGCTGTTACTTGGGTTGGAGTGTAGTGGCACAATCTCAGCTCACTGCAGCCTTGACATCCCAGTCTTCAAGTAATCCTCCTGCCTCAGCCTCCTGAGTAGCTGAGATTACAGGCATACACTACCATGCCCAGCTAGGTGTTTTTTTGTTTTTTTTTTTTTTTTTTTTGGTAGACACGGGGTCCCTCTGTGTTGCCCAGGCTGGCCTCAAACTTCTGGGCTCAAGCAATCCTCCTGCCTCGGCCTCTCAAAGTGTTGGGATTACAGGCATGAGCCACCGTGCCTGTCCCTTGGATTTGTTTTGATCTCTTTAGAAATCACTTTAATTCAGAAGCAAAGGCCACTTCATAGTATGCTTTTATATTACCTTATCAATTTTACTTTGTGCTCATTTAAAAGATAATTTTGTCCCAGCTACTCCGGACGCTGAGGAAGGAGAACTGCTTCAACATAGGAGGTGGAGCTTGTAGTCAGCCAAGATTGCGCCACTGCACTTCACTTAGCCTCGGTGACAGAGTGAGTCTGTGGAAAGAAAGGGGAGGGAAGGGGGGAGAGAAGAGCGGGGAGGGGAGGGGAGAAGAAAGGCAGGAAGGTGGGAAGGAGGAAAGGAGGAAAGCAGAGAAGGAGGGAGGGCAGGAAGGAAAAATTAAATTTAAAAAATAAATTAAATTTAAAATTTTAAAAATTGATTCTGGATCATATCACTAGAAAAAATTTTTATGATTTTTCAGTTTTTCCAAAGGGAATCCTTACAAAGACACCACATTATCCCCCTACTTTTTTCTTTCAGTTGAAGCCTCTATTTCCAACCAACCTTGCCAGCAGAATAGGGTGGTTTTTTAAATCTTTATCGTTTTTTACTATATGAAAAACTAATCCATACACTTTGTAAAAGTACATTAAATTCAGAAAATAGAGAAGTACAAAATAAAAAAATAGGAAAATGGGATTTATATGCTAATTTGTTTTCCTGATTAAAGTATTTATCTTGGGTATCTCTTCATGCCCCTCCTTCCCAAGGCAAACACCCCCAATGCATGTAAAGTCCTGAGATTTGGCTTAAGAGGCCAAAGGGGACGAGTGATGTTAACTCCCACATCCCTTCACTGACAGCTTTCTCATTCCTGCCCAGGTCTCATGAGTATGGGCAGAAACACCCAGGTCCAAGGAACTCATCTGGGCATAGATGTGCCCAGATAGGTGTGAGTTCTCCAAGCTTCTTCATTCAGAGCTGGTTCCCTACGAGGGCATCTTTGTGGCAGGAACTTGCAAGTGAATACTGCCAGGGAGAAGAATGCTGATTACTTGAGTATGGCAGTAGCTGTCTGCCTGGAAAGAAATCACTTATCACGGAGCTCGTGGATGTGTGAATTCCAAGTTCAGAGTAATTAAACAGGGGAGCAGGACTGAGCCTCAGATACAGGCAGGGTACACCAGGGTGAGGATCCCTCCTGCACACACGATAGTCATCACAAGCTTTACTTAAATAAAAGTGATCTCTCCACAAGGCTGAGGTGGGCTATAGCAGCTGCTGTGGATCTCTATATTCCACGGAGGTGCCTGCCTGGTTCCCTAAAATCCCTGGGCATTGGACCAGGAGGATGGTACTCAGTGGCAAGATTGCCTGTTTCCGCAGCGCCACCGTGTGTTAGGACAAGCAACAACAGCCAAAACTCCTGGACACCCTGGTCTTCCAGTTTTTTCTGCTCTAAGAGACAGCAAGCATCCAGGAATCAAGGAATATCCCTGACGGAGGAGAGACATTGGCGTTATCACAGAAGAAAGGATAGCATGGGATAAAATACATTCTCGGCCGGGCGCGGTGGCTCAAGCCTGTAATCCCAGCACTTTGGGAGGCTGAGGCGGGTGGATCACGAGGTCAAGAGATCGAGACCATCCTGGTCAACATGGTGAAACCCCGTCTCT